CTGAACTCTATGAAGCAGAACATCCAGATCAAACCCAGATATATTGTGCCCAACAAGCACATCACTATCCAATTTGTGTAACTCAGTCATCAAACAGTTCAACAAAGCTCTTTCGCTGGTATTTCAAAGAGAATGCATGTTTAAGAACTTAAATTATGGAAGAAGAAAAGGCTAGAAAGAATATGGAAGTAGAGACGCAAGATATTAGTGTTTCTCAACTGATATGATTAGGGACCGGACTTGCCTGACTTCAAGACTAATAACTTTGGATCCAGCTTTTGCATTTCTATCCGCTGCTTCCTTTGCAAACCCCAACGGATATATGCCTCCATCAAGCTTTCGCACAACAGTAAAATGTGAAAGCATCCCCATTTTTGTCAATTCAGAGGTTAAAGTTGGTGCATCAATCTGAAAGAGATGTGGCATAAGCATTCAGTTGCCTTCAAGGTGTTTTCAGTTAGCATAAGAGCTTATACCTGAGTAGTGAGTACTATCAGTACTATAAAAACTTAATTAGTGGAGCAAAGGTAAAATTCAAGTAGCTAATTTGATACATCATTTAAAATTCAAGTAGCTAATTTGATACATCATTATTACAAGACTCACATAACAAGCAAAAGAGAGTATACCTTCACTTTATGACAGGTGACGACAGATGCAGAGACAATTTCATTGACATTTTGTTTTTCATTGATAATGGTTTTCACATTTATTGCTGTTACAACCAGAGGAGGAATTGCTGGAATGTTTTTTTTCAAGACATGAATGTCCTTTGGATTATCCACAGTGATCTCAAATTTACACCAGCTTATCTGTGCAGAAAGCAAAACAAATATTTACTAACACAGCCCATGTAAACTACTGTACAATGCAATGACATAAATGGAGGATAGGCATCTCAAGCCTCGCAATAGAGGCGTTGGACACAAGGTTATAAGTACAATACGAGCTCCAGTACCGGGTGTTTGAACTGAATTGGTATGTACTGTACCCATAACAAATTTTTCATACCCGGGCTTTAAAATATGATAAAATTTTGTCTCAATTATTTAAAGTTTAAATTTTTAATACTTGAAAATATTACAATTACAGTAAAAACACACAATAGGCAAATTTTCATGATAAATAATACATCAAACGAGAAGAACGTTATACAGAGTATTTTAAACAAAAAAATAGACCCACTAATTGGGTTATATGTGCCAACAAACTTCTAATGCATTATATAAAATCAAAGTTGTCAAATGCCTTAACAAGGATTTTGAAAGGGAAAAGAAAAGAAAATGAGATGGTAAATAATTTTTCTTGTTTGGTTAGAGAGGAAAAGAAAAGAAATGTGGAAGGAAAAGAAAATGAGAATGCAAAATGTAATAAGAGGGAAGAAAATGAAAGAAAACTATTTTATTTTCTTTTCCTTAAGAAACCCTTGAACTAAACATTTTGTATGTTTCCTTCAAAAAAAACATTGTGTATGTGGTGCAAAGAAGTAAACACAAGATTATATGTTTTCAATGAAAATTATTAATATTTAAAGTTAAAATGGAGCAGTATCAGAATTTCAGTCAGTAGCCATTCAGACCGAAATTTAATTGATGGAATACTGGACATTTGTCCATACCGGTTTTGGACCGGAATGGTACGTACTGTCAGTATTCCTGCAGTAAGGTACTTCATATAATAACCTTGGTTGGACAGCTTGCAGACTTTGAAATTGATAACCAGGAGGGCCCCTTGATTTTTCTCTTCACAAGGAAGAGCTCAAGTGCACTGCAAATAATGCAAATAGATTCAAGTCAATTTGAATGTGTAGAAAATCTAAAGCAGCACATTTGAGTAGACACATATATAGAGCACTAATTGGATGTAGGCATTCATTCCTTACCCGGGAGCAAATAGACACCCAAAATCCCAAACTGACAATTTTGTTATAGAATTTCAAGAGTATAAACAACAACAACAACCCAGTTAAATCCCACAAGAGTAGGGTCTGGGGAGGGTGTGTGTACGCAGACCTTACCCCTACTCGAAAGTAGAGAGGCTGTTTCCAAAGAGACCCCCGGCTCAACGTCGAAAGTTGCATTGCTTGACTAACTGCTACTTCATTAATTAAAGAAGCGCAGACAGTTTAGAGATCTATTTTGATTTATTTTATCACACCCCAAAGCCAAAAAATGATGAAATTTTGGCTCCATCGGAGATGATGGAAAAGTTTCAAGAGTATAAATTTTCTAAAATACATTCCAAAGATTGAATTTTGGTGCAAGGCTGCAAGGACATAAAAGATATAGAGTTTCTTCCAGAGGAATTTTCAATCATCAGCATATTGTACAAAACAAATACCTGCTATGGGTGCCAAGTAAAGCGCAAAAATGTTCTCCCTTGAGGTCTGGTGGAAGTGGTGGATCCTGGAATAAAAAAGTGCAAGGTTATGCATATCCATATATGAAGGTCATGACAATCAATGTTCCGACTTGGTGGATATAAGCATATTTACCTTAAATGGATAGCTAATCTTAAGGACATAATTCTCACCCAGAGGGATATCAGGTCTTTCAAATGCATAATTTCGCTGCGATGTAGTAGACAGAGTGAATAGCCAAGAAAACAACATTAAAGAAGAGGAGGATATAAGACATATCAGATCCTCAAAACCTTAACAGGATTCATGCTAAATCTTGAGACATTATGCTCCACCAATTTTTTTGTCAACTCAGTTTTCAGGTCAGATGCCATCTCCTAACAGTGAGAAAAACAAATGACAACATTAACAACAAAGAGAATATGAGAATAAACAATGAAAGATGTGGCCTTTGATGTAATTACATGCAGCCGGCTATGAAAAGCAGCAGCAGAAATCTGAGACTCTTTAAGATCCATCTCTAGCTTCAAAATTGCATCTTTTTGGAATAAAGTTCTATTTGGGATAGCATAGACACATCTCTGCATATTTGTTAGAACCACACAGCAGCTATGATACGTCCCTTTAACTTTGACCTGAATTGTAACAATGCAGAGATCAGATATCATTGGCAAGATAATATATTTCTTTAACATATACTGTTTCATTACGAATTAATATAGTCTTCAACTGTTCGGGAGTGACCACAACAAAAGTGAACATGGTTCTCAAGAAAATTGCCACAGAGCTTATGTGCTCTGTATCTAAGAATAAATTAAAACCAACGGAAATCAGACAAAAAAAACTTAAACATACCTTCCCAAATAGATAGATATTGCCTGAATTGGCTCCATAAAGCTCCTCGTAGGCATCAATTATGAAGAAAGGAAATGATCCATCAGACTCCAACTCCAAGTCTGAGTTTTCTTCAGCATTAGTAAGATTTGAGGCAGAGGACTTTCCAGAACTCCTCATTGTTTGCCACTCTGCAGTTGCACTCAAGGCCAAATTATTTTCTGTTTTAATTTTGGCATTGAGTGAAAATACCTTATCCTCTTTCATTGGAGCCTCCTTCAAATTAGATCCACTTAACGAATTCCTGTCATTATCGATTCCTTTCTTTGCATTATCACTTAACACTACCACTCCCTTCTCCTTCATCTCAGCATCCAAATTTGCATTATCACTTAACTCTACCGCTCCCTTCTCCTTCATCTCAGCATCCAAAGAGCTTACACGCTCAATTTTCTCCGGTAGATCCTTCTTATCACTCAATTGGCTGTCAGGCGGAACATGCATCGTAGATTCGCATGGATCATCATTCCTAGTTTCTTCATTCACAATCAAATTAACACTCTCTTTGATCGGCCTCTCGCTTTTTGCGGACACATACTTTGTATTAACTTGAGCTGAAGTTACCGACTTTAGCGATAAATTAGAGCTTCCTCTTCTCCTTCTTTCCCTATCTGTTTCGTCAGGAGCAAATTCAGCTATTACATCATCTACGATACTGTCACATGACAAATTCTTCAAGGATGCGCCACTACTTCTCTTATGAACTGTAGAATTCAACATATTCAAAAACTGCTGCCTGTCCGCTAGGGATGCAGCAGTTGACAGCCTTGCTGCCGGCTGCTTTTTAGCAGCAGGTTGAGGCTTCTTCTCCGATGTCTTCTTCTTCTTCGGCCTTCCGGCCTCACCTTCTGAATCATCCGAAGATTGAGGGAGCCCAGCAACGGACCAATCCTCTTCCTGGCCTTCGTCTCCGTAACCCATGCCATTGTCATCTACGATAAACCCTCGAGACTCTTCGCACCGCTTGGCAACTAGGGCGCCGTACTCATCCTCGTCGACTAAGTCATAGATCGGATCCTCCATCTTGATCTGGGCAGCATCTCGGGAGCAGCGCTCGCCGCTCTTGATGGCTTTGAGACGCTCCAGCGCGTTTGTCCTCTCAGGCACAATTCTCCCTCGGCTCCTCCGCCTTCCGGCGACAGATGAAGGCTCGTCCGACATTCTCTCTCCTCCTCTGTATTGTATCCCTTTCCCTCTCCCAGGTGGCGACTGCCGGAGCTCAGTATCAAGATCTGTGGAACAGAACTGGGGAATTTGATGCCAAATATAAATGGGCGGGAAGATCAATTTTCGCGCCAAACGTAAAGCCCTAGCCTCCGCGTCCAATCTCAATCATTCCTGAATCCCTACGTGGTTGTATAATAAAAAAAATCGGTTGTGCTAATTACATCTACAAATTAGGAGTAGCATACATGAGTGCTTTACTCAATTTATATTTAAGTTTATATTAAAAGTTCGTTTAGTACACGAAATTGATGGGATTAGAATAGAATTGGTAATTGAAATTCAATAAAATTGCTCTTCCTCGTTACTTTTAACTTGCTTGACAGTTTCACTTGAAATAGGTTTGAAACTCTGAGGTTTCAAACCTTTATTTTTTAAAAATTTTAACACACATTTTGTAAAATAAAATTAATAAATTTCATTAATTAATTAAATTTAAAAGACAACAACTCATGAAATAAAAATATTACATTAAATAAAAAAGAACATTTAATTAAAAAACATACATTAATAAAAAAATAAAAAAATAAGGCAAATTATATTTTGCCTTGATCTCTTTTTGTATCTCTCGTAAAGCATACGTTTGAAACCCATGGACAAAAAATGACTAAAATTTGACGCTATGAATAATGAACATGTAATATAAATTCAAACGGAGAGATTACATTCAGAGTACATTTTTTTGTTGAAAAAAATGAGTATATTACAGACATACATTAGTAGATAGTAGTGGAACTATAATGCACACCGAGTTCAGAGTTTTAGAACATGAAAAATTGGCAATGAGACTAACAAGTGAATACTGCAAAACAATTAGCCAATTTTCTGCCTTGAAGAAACTCAACATGGGTATTTTTTTAAAAAAAAGTGTAAATTTCCCAATGCAGTTCACACCCACCAAAGTAAGAATGATATGGTTAAAATCTTCATAACCATCAACCAGTGAAGCTGCTGGAGGGGTCGGCCCGCTGAAGAATCATTAGTTCTGCTGATATCTGGTAATGTTGAATCCGTTGGTGGTAAAGCGGCTGGTGGCGGCGGGGAGAGCTTCGGTGCTTCACATGTTGTGGACGAACCGCTTTTCTATTAACAGTTGATGAGATCATAAAGGTAAGTGCCGCAGGGACAAAACCGGAAAAGAATTATCTTATGTGTGCCAGAATTAGAATGCAGGAATACAAAAGGGGGTGATTTGGAAAACATTAGTGAGCAGATGGTGATAGCTAGCTGTTTGTGTTAGCAGGTTTGATTATCGATTAAGAATTTGCATAAAATGTTTGGTAAGTTAGCGGAGTGCTAAAAAATAAAACTAAAATATCAAAAAACAAAATGTTGATCCGAATACTAGCTCATTCAGATCAGCATTTTGCACAGTTTAATGATGATGAAAAATGTCGGTTTACCAAACAACACCCCAAATGACATTTTGAGCAGCCAGATATGCCATAAAAGCAAAAAAATGGCATTATGCTATTCAAAATGGTAGGATCCAAACATCCCTTTTCTGATCAAATAGCAAAGAAAAAGGCATTATGCCAATCGAAATGCTAGAATCCAAAAAAACCGGGCTAAGGAAGCTTGGCAAACAACACAACACTCATCATCAGAGGCGGACCCACTAAGGGTCCTACGGGGTCATTGGACCCCAGTCCTATGGGGTCCTGGGACCCCAACATCAGAGGCGGACCCACTAAGGGTCCTACGGGGTCCCGAGATCCCACTAGGTACGTAGTATATAGTAGTTGGTTAAAAGTGGGAATGCTAAGTGCTAACACACCTTGCAATATGCAATGCTGGAACAGTTGCAAGCCAACTGACCGTTTGCTCGATCCACAGCTTCCGGTGCACCGCCACTATCACTCCTCTGCGAAAGTGAACCAAAAAAAAAAAGAGAGGCTAAAACAGTACATTTTCACCCTAAAATCTTTTATCCTTACCAACATTTAGATAAGTTACAAAAAATGCAGAGCAAGCATTTCCACCTACACTGTAAAAATCGACTGCAATAAAATTTGGCCAACGCCGACCAGCTGCTTTATAACAGGTATCGGTCATACTGAGTAGTCCAGCAGAATTATCAACACATGAGTTTGTGTCATTTGGATTGGTTGGAAAATAATTCTGCAGAACTAATGATCTTTTTGCATCGTTCATAGGAGAGGATTCTGACCGACTTGGACATGAACCAGCTACCATTCCACCATCTCCATCTGCAATGATCAAAATGAAAATTATACGGAGTATTATTTTTCAATGTACACACACACACATCAATCATCATACTACACGTAGTCCAAACTTGAAGGGTAAGCAATCAGCATATTAGGAACTGTTAATGATGGAAAGATGAAAAGAAACTCACATTGGTTTTCCACTACATATCTCCACTCATAAGCAATCCCCTCAGAGCTCTCCTTAGATTTATCAGACGTGAAGACCACCAACTGTTGTTTCTTAGTCACCATGTCATCCACTGAAGGCCAATCCTCCCCGTTTTTGGGCATTTGAGACACTGGAAACATGTACTTGCTAAGCCCAGAACTGCTGAAAATGTTTGTCAAGCCACTTTTAGATTTCACGTAGTCCTCAATGAAGATAGTGACAACTTCAGAGTTTTGATCAAGAAATGTTTTGATTTCCTTCAGCACGTTAATCGCAGGTTGCTGGAATGAGATATTTTGTTATATTTTCAACAACAAAAAAAGTGAAAACAAAAGCGGGAAGAGAAATGCTTTGCTAAATGAAATAATGGCCCTGTTTGGCATTTTGTTTGGAAAGAGCTTGTTTCTAATTGCTTCAACAATCTCATTTTTGCCTATTAGGAATTCCAGCTTATTGGTTCTCCACTCACAACTTTGTACTTATGCTTCTCCAAATGCCGGTTTGAGCACGCGTCAATTAAATGCTTGTTGGTTAGCTTATTGCTTGTTGATAAGCAATGCCAATCAGGGCCGATGTTACTAAAAGAAGACCATTAACGCATGACTTACAAAAGCTGTAAAGTTGTAGCATTTCCCACCAGTGGAATGGCACAACCAGATGTCATTGTTGAAGTCATACATATCAAGCATAAGTCCTCGAACCCCATTCTACAAATGGAATAAAATTTAAACCAACTTCAGTTTGGCTGTGTTTCTCTTCAAAATTGAAATGCTTATAGACTCAAATGCTTCGTACCATTTATTTATCAATTAGTTAAGCTATTTATTTGGATGCTGCCTAGCACATAAATAGTCACCAACTATTCCACTATTCACGGTAGGGGGGATGTTAAATGAAAAAAGCTATTGATCGTCAAATGCGTGTCTCATGAAATCCAACTAAAGATATTAAATTAAAATTAGATGCTACATTTAATTTTTTTTAAAGATGCTATATGTGAAATTGTGAACTAAATTAAATGTAAATAAAAGATCGACCTTGAGTTGAGCAGTGACACTGTCTTCTTGATTGGTTGGAGAAAGAATAACAGACCCGGTTGCTGAAGTGGACCCTTCCAGAGCATATGAATTATGAGTTGTGAGCCATGAATACTTGTTGAATGGCAACCCTTTCACCTTTTCAAGCCAAACACATAGTGATCAATTATAAAGATTTATACAAACCAATCTTATAAATGTTTGGACTGTGCTCTTATCAAATTCTACATGTGTTTTGGTTCGTTTGGTTTGCTCAGGAATGAATATATGTGTTGCAAATCTCAAATCCATAACTCATAGTGGGTTACAAAAAAGTACACCCGACTTATTCTATAAATCCCGTCAAACTCATTCCCTAAACCCCCTCATCCCTCTAGATTGAATTCATTCAATTCCCAGGTTGTTGTCTCTTCAATCATTACATCTCAAACCAGGGGACTTCAGAAGACTGTTGGTGGAAAAAATAAGAAGCCAATGATTGAAGTTTCAGCTAAATTGATCATGCCTCCATAATGTAGAACCGAACCCTAATTTTATTCCCCAACTCAACCCAAACGATTGATTTCACTCTTTGATACCTAAAGTCCTAAACTCATAGCTAAACCTGATTCTAACTAAACCCGCCTTTAGGATCAAATGGAGCCAATGAACCCTAGTATCAATACCCATAAACAAAAAAGTTGTCCAAATCCCATCTTCAAAAAATGAAGAAATTCACAATAGACAAAAACTGAAAGGAAAAATAAAAAGGCAACCTTAGAGAAAGGGCTGATGGGTTGAGTGCGAACGCATCTGCTACGGGTATTTCCATTTGCAGGGCAGGTAGAGCAGGTCAAGCCTCCATCGCATTTGCTCAAAGCAGAACACGTTTCTCCAACCTGGTACAACAATTCATGGTAAATATTATTATTATTATTTGCAAAACAACAACAATAACAAGAACAAAAAACATTAATCCTGCAGAAACTTCTGATGCAGGAACAAAATTAAACAGAACTTAAAAAGATGTGAAATTTAAGGAGGTGACCTGCAGAGAAGATGATGATCCGACTAAAGAAACTGCGATGATGAGCAGAAGAAGGTTAATCAGATCAAAAATGGCACCCTGCAACAAATCTTGGGTGTAAGAAATGAAATGGAGAGAAACTCAAAGCTAGGGTTAGAGACTAATTACAACATGCCTGCATAACTAATTACTCTCTCTTAATTACACCGCCTGCCTGCAGGCTGCAACAAGAGATGAGGAAGATACAGAAAATTCCCAGATTTTAATTAGGTACGGTCTCGCATCAAGAAAATTACTAGTAAAACATTTTTTTTTTGGGTGAAATTTATAACCAGGAACGTTGACATGAAAATTGGTCACTTTTTCCGTTCATACTCCACAATTCATTCCCTCTCTTTTTTACCTTTCAATTTTCTTTTTTTTTTGGTAAAGCTTTGAACTTTTTTTGGTTTCAAATAAAAAAGTACTTTTGTTTTTTTAAAAAAATTATCGGAATCTTTATCAACACTATGTTTAGTTTAAGAAATTTGAAAGAAAAATAAACTTTTTGTCTTCTCTTTTTTTTCTTCTATTTTTCTTTTCTTTTCTAATCAAACAAGAAAAATGTTTTTTTTTCATTTTCTTTTCTTTTCCCTCTCAAATTTTTTAAATCAAACATAGTGAACATAGTGTGAAAGAGTAATGTTAGAGTTTATTCTTTAGGATTGGAAAAGAAAAGCAAGATGTTGATAAAGCTGATTTGGTTTGGTTTGATCAGATCTTATTAGATATAATTGGAGTTATATTTAAAGCTATTTCTGATCTGATATAATTGATTCTATTTGGTTTGATCTAGTGTTAATAAACTAAAATAATAAGTAAAACGGAACAAATCGTTTGTATGATTTCAAAAAGAAAAAAGAGAAAGGTTGCAAATGTATACCACAAAGGTTTTGACTCATTAATTTGTGTTTGACTCATATTAATAAAATCAATATTGAACTACTGTATTTTTAAGTGGAACAATTTTATTTAGATTTGCTAACCAAGACACTTGAGACAATGTTTAAATGTCAAAAAAATAATTCAACTAAAAGCGCAAATTTATAAGTGTAGCTATATGAAAATTTTTATACTCTAATGCTCTTCATCGTGTATTATAAATGAACATTGTTATTTGTTAAATTGGATGGTAGAAAGATTCGAATTCGTAACATCTTGGTCAATAAAATTATAATTTGATACCACGTCAGGAAACTAATTGAACCACAATTTCAAGCTAATAATTGTAAGCCCAAAAATTTATTATAGGGTGACATGAGTTTTCTCCTTAAAAACTCCCAAGTCATCATATTTTTTTAAAAAAACCACCAAGATCAATAATATGTTATACTCCGTAATAAATTAAAAGCTTCATATTTCCCATTTTACACTTATTCACTTTGTCTATTAACTCTTCGTCAATATTATGGCTACCATCTTAATTTCAACATAATGTTTTCTTTTTCTTTTTTGTTTGTATTTACAAATAATGAAAAAAGCAAACACAAATTAGTTCTCTCTCAATATGTATGTATATTGCGTTTGTAATATCCATTACGGTCAATATTTTAAAAAACAAAGTTTTTTAATCAATATTCTTAAAATGGGAAATATGGAACATTTAATTTTACTCTCACATAGTCACATTCTTTCTCCGTCCTAAATTAATATTCACAGTTTGACTTTACACGAAGTTAAAAAAATAAATATATATGATTGAAAGTGGTGTAGAGAAGAGAAAAAAAGATGAGCTACAAAAGGTTTTCTAAAAAAAGAGAAAGATTAGTTTGAGAAACCCAAAAACAAAATAAGGATGATTTATCTCGGAGAGAGAGAGAGAATATTATTCCTCCGTTGTTTTTTAAATAGGCCCTAAAAATTCTTTCGAAGAATCAAGAGTAATTTTTTGTTTAATCTCTAACGTTGAACATTCCAAATATGAAGAACAAGGTCAAATAGCTTCAGTGCCCTCTGTGATTTGATAAATTGGCGCCAATATCCCCTTTGTTTTCGAAACTTATTTCTAAAATCTTTGTGGTTTCAAAATGTTGCAGCCACACATTTTCTGACAAAGATGTGGTATTGGTGCTTATTTTCTAAACCACACACGACACACATACTCATTTTCTATTTTTCGTTTATTACTTTGTTTTTTTTCTTTTTTTTTCTCTTTGTTTCCATTTTCTATAGAAAGTTTTTTAAATTTCTTTTAAATTATTTATAATCTCTTTAAAAATTCAAACTTCTTTTTGAATGAAAATAAAAAATAAAAAAATTAACATATACTTCATGTATCTCAAATTAAACATTTTAACCTTTTTTTCTAGAATAATGTATTTGGTAAGTTCAAAAAAATAAAATAAAAATAAAATAAAAATAAAAAAAAATGAAATGAAAAAAATTGAAACATCTAAAATAAGGATATTCATTTTAGTTTTTTATTTTATTGGGATGTCCAATAAGGATATTCATTTTAGTTTTTTATTTTATTTCCTATTTTATTCCTCATTTTTTGATGTTCCCAAAACAAGTTTTTAATTTTTTATTTTAGAAAACAAAAAAATAAAAGTTGTTAATTTGACACGTACATATGTAGTATATGTTAATTTTTTTCAAATAAAAATAATTTTAAATTTTAAAAACAATTTTCAAAATAAATTTAAAAATTTTTGATTAAAAAAAGAAACAAAAAAGACAAAAAAACAAAAAATAAGAAATGAGCACTAGTGCCCCTATAGAAAAATATTCACCAATGTCTCCTTGTTCCCCAGAAAAATGGCCGGAAAATATAATAAGAAACAAAAATTTTCATACTATAAATACGGTCATTCACAATCGCTATCGTAATTAGTCTCTTGAATGTGCGTTTTGAACTCTGCCCTTCGAGCAAAACATGGGGATCTTAATTGTTCTAAAAAATATTGATGAGAGATCATCAGCTTTGATGCTAAAGCTGAGAGCGATAAGAGTTTATCATGTTCTCGCCCATTCTAGGGAGCCCGAATCATTGATGTAATTTTTAATGATTTAGAAGTTAGTTCTTTAATTAATATGAATCTAAAATACTTATCCATTAACAACATTGTAATGATGGTAATATATACTTTTTTTCTTTGCATTGTTAAGGAGATCGAATACATGCGCAGATCAGATATTCGAATATATGCGCTTTAAAAGAACATAATGTTTATTTACTGATGAGAGTCAAAGTACTACGCAATTACCAAACAACGAAAACTAAACTACCAATCACCCTTTCATGCTACAATTCTTTAGCAGGACGAAGCTTCAAAAGACAGATTTTGAAAAGTAGATTTCCTAATTTTTGTGCTTCCGAAGTACCAAATCATGAGTTAAATTTGAAAGTAAGCATGCCTATTATGTTGTTGAGAAATATTGATCATTCATTGAGCTTATTGGGTTTATGTAATATTACACGGTTGATAGTAACTCGATTGGATAATCACTCAATACAAGAAAAGATATTATCTGGAAGACACATGGGTGAAAAAGTTGTTATTCCAAAACTATCATTAACATCATCCGATACAAAAATTCCATTCAAATTTCAAAGAAGACGATTTCATGTGGTTACTTCGTATGCAATGACGATTAACAACAGTCCGGGGCAATCTCTAAAATATGTTGGATTATTGTTACAGAAACTGGTATTTAGTTATGAACAACCAGGGACGGATCTAGTTCAATGGAGTAGGGAGCAAATACCCCCAACTAGTTTTTTTTAATAAGGTAAATAAAGAAAAAATTAAAATTTTTTTATGCACCCAACAAAAACTAATGTGACCCATCTAACTAGGCAAAATTTAAATTTTTTTAAATAAAGTATATTTTATTGCATATAACTAATTTTTTATAAAATAAAATTTCACATAACCTATTAAAAATGTTTTACATTCAAATAGTCTACCAAAAAATTGGGGCGCACCCTCAAATAATAATGCTCCCATCTAGTTAAATTTCTAGATCCGCCACAATGGATAACTGTATGTTGCCTTTTCAAATGGAACAAATTGTAGTGGCTTGAAAATTATGATAGGCAACGAAAACAATGTTCCCACTAACTATACGAATAATCGGCCCGGTTCCAGCGGTGCCACCGGCATTTTGGGGCACCTCCGGTGCTCCGTTCGCAAAATTGACGGTTCCTACCCTCCCTAACCCACCCCTAAACCCCCACCCTACCACCGCCCCTGCACCCCCACCCCAACCCCGCCGTAAGCTCCCCACAAAATGTGTGGCTATTTGAGTTTCCAATTTTATTTTCATAATAGCCACACATTTTGTGGGGGGCTTACGGCGGGGTTGGGGTTGGGGTGCAGGAGCGGTGGTAGGGTGGGGGGTTTAGGGGTGGGTTAGGGGGATAGGAATCGTAAATTTTGCGAACGGAACACCAGAGGTGCCCCAAAATGCCGGTGGCACCTGAGTGGCACTGGAACCCCACCCACGAATAATATAGATTATAAAGAAGTCTTTCGAAATCTTTGTAAAATAAAATACTTTTGTTTCTATTAAATATTATTTCGTATTATTCAAAAATGTTTTTAATTTAGTAATGTAAATGTATGTGTAAAAAAATATTACTAGTAATTTTAAGAAAAATGAGAAATCTTTTTTCATTAAAAATATGGGCAGTAACTACTTCAGCTTACACAGATCCAACAACCAAACCATACAAAACTCAAGCTGAAATAAGAAACGAGCTTCGCAGAGCGGCATATATATACGTCGTACTCACACCGCGCGATTGAGGTCACCGCCGGCAGCGCGTGATGGCGGAGCAGCCTCTGTAGTAAGGGCGGACCGGTCCGGTGGCCAGGTGGCAGTTGAGCGTGTAGTACGACCTGCCGGAGCGCGGAGGGCAGGGGACCCTGTCCGCCGACAGCGCCGCGTACGAAATGTAGTACCTCACCGCCGGCCACAGCAGAGATCTCCGGCTTCCGGATTCGTCTCCTTCCAGATCCACCCCGTTACCTCCTCCGATGTCGGCGCCGCCGCCGTACGAAGACCGCGCCATCGGCATTCTTGCGGCGGGATCTTCGAGCTTGGCCTGTGCACTATTCCAATTCGTGATTCCGGCGGTACAAATTAAGAAGATGAAGATGAAAAAGAAAGTGGATGATCTGAAGCATTTTTGAGTCTCCATGATTGAGGACAGAGTACCTTTGAGTTATGGGGAAAGGTAATTAAAAAAGGAACCGAAATAATAAATGGGTTGATAAATGGGAAGGGGGGACCTTTTTTTAGTTGGGACCCTCAATTTCAACATGAAAAATGCAAGTAGTGCGGTGTACGTGTCACATAATAAATGAAGTGTGAAATAGTAGACCTACAAATAATGGCCTATTAGGCTGGGTGCCTCCCTGATTTACAAAAAGGGCATTTAAATTCTCTTTGTTTTCAAAATCTATTTGTAAAATCTCTATGATTTCTAAATAGAGTACACATGTCCCTTATCTATTTTTAAAGAAAAAAAATGACATTTATGCCCTTTCTTTTCCTTGATCTTGAATTTTTCCAATTTTATTTTCTTTTATTATACAATTATATAAAATAAAAATATACGCTAGTCATATTAAATTAAATTTTTCAATAATGTACTTTTGAAAACAACAGATTTTTTTGGAGAATGTTACAAAAAAAAGTGAAAAATAAAATATTATGTACAAAGTAAAAATAATAATTGAAAAAGGTAATGAAAAGAAAGAAAAATATAAAAAACAACCTTTTTCTTTAACTTTGTATTTTATTTCATCTTTCTGTTCTTCCTTTTTAAAGTCTTTAAAAAATTATTTTACTTTTAAAAAAATAATTAAGTTAGAATTTTTAATTAGAATAGGAGAAACAAGATTTGTGCTATAGAATATTAAAATGATTTGATTATGAATTGAGATTCAATTTATATGGATGTTCGATGCATTAGATATTCTTACTCAATTTCACCGATGAGCGTGTAGTGTATTTTATTTGTTACACGAAGAAAAACAGAAAGAATGAATTGACGTATTCCTGGCGGCATATTGGGTGAGATGGTCGGGATGAATTTGTGGTTTTGAATTTTTATTTCCAAAGACCTAAATTGATCATGCTTTGTAATTGTGATTGTTAAAGCTTCCGTAACTTTAAATACTCCACTACTATTTCAAATAAATTATTATGAAATAAAGTTTGAAATTTTTTGAAATGTTTTGAATGTTCACGAATACTAAATTTATACTTTAGTCTAAAAGGGGTTGCAGACCTAGACGAATTAAATATTGCAAACTTGAGGTTCAGACACACTCGAGTGAGGTTATAAAGTGGATGGCCGACTACACTTCCCTTAGAGGCCCTACTTGCGATATCATTGAAGAGATTAAACATAACTGACAAAGAAAGTTTAAAAGGATTGAGTTCAGAAATATCTTTTCAGAGCAAAACTTTACTGCTGACCGCCTTTCTAAAATGGAATCTTCTAGGAAGCAAATTGGATTGACCACAAAGACCCTCCGCCTGGGATGGAAGACATCATTGCTAATGACATGATGGGTGCTACCAGAGTTTTTAGAGCGCATTTGAGTTAGTCTAGGGTCCACCCTCCCTTCTTATTATAAACAATTATTCTTAAATACAGAGTACTAGTTGTTATACTCTTGGTTAAACATGATTTGTTATATTCTTAAATGGTACACGCTTTACTTAAGGAAAAATACATAAAAATTAAAAAGTGTAGTAAATTAATAATGGTTAAAAAGTTGAAAAATGCTTAATATTTACGTGCTTAAAGATAATACTACAAATATTTTAAGGCAAAAGAGTTATACATGGTTTGTAATACATTTTTTAACATAAGACATGCCCTATTTATATAAAAATACAAAAGCATTACCATATTTGAACTTAACATAAATTTTCACACACTTCTACACTCTTCAAAAAAAACAATTAGCAATTTGAGTTTGCAAAAAAACAAACAAGAGTTAAATTCATGTTAAAAAATAAAAAGAATATATTGGCGAAATTATTTAAAAGAGATAAATCAAATATATTCAAATACTACTTTAATAAAAAAGTAATATAACCCTAATTTTTAAATATTTTTTAAAAAATAAAATGTATAATGCATATATTAAAAGGAAAAAAAATTATAAATTTATAAATAATGCATCTTTATTACATAACACATGCCTTATATTTATTAGAATTCAAAAATAAAACCCACTAATAATTTGACGATGCTAAAATTAAAAAAACTCCGATTAAATTGATATAAAAATTAAAAGAAATGTGTGCTTGAAAATTATTTTAAAAACAAATAATCAAATGCTTATTATTTTAAAAAAGAAACAAAAAAATATGAAGTTGATCTTTTAACATTTTTAAAAATAAAAAGGTAAGTTTTGGTTATCTCAGATTAAATATTTCTTATTTCTAGTATAGTTTTTTAAAAAAATTATCGTTTGATGATAATTGCCACCTGATATACATAAGAAGAAACATTTTTTTCTAATTTTTTTCGGAGCTTATAATTTCTCAAGAAGACTTGAAGATTTTGTGTTTGACTGAGATTGAAAAGTTGTTTAATTCAAATGGACGGTATTTAAGTGAATTCAATGGGATGCCATTTCCAGATAGGAGTTCACTTAATATATTTCAAAATAATTTCTTAGTAAACATCTGATCTTATGGGATACTTATCTACGATGAATGAAGATCAGTGAAAGATATACGATGAAATAAGAGAACTTGTGGTATCTAAAAGAGAATGTTATTTTTTGTGTATGGTTACGATGAAACTAGAAAAACATTTATATGGAAATCACTTTTTGGTTTTCTAAGGTCATATAGTAAGGTTGTCTTGAATATCGCATCCAGTGGCATTGCAACATTACTTTTGTTTCATGGAAGGACATCACCTTTGAGATTCTCAATCTCTCTGGTGCTAACCGAATGATCAATGTGTGCCATCAAATAAGGGAGCCCGAAAGTAGAACTAAGCCAACAATTAAGTCTAATCATATGGGATGAAGCATGTTTGATAAATAGATTTACTTTTGAGGCATTGGGTCACACAATGAGAGGTGTAATGAGGTTCTCTCATAACAACTCTAGAAAAATGAACCATTTGAAGAGAAAACAGTTGTACTCGAAGGTTATTTTTGGCAACATCTTCCTGTTTTACTAGAGTTTCAAGAGAGGAAACTTTAGGTCCTATCCTCAAGTCTTCAAAATTGTGATTGTATTGTAAAGTTTATATGTTGACGAGGAAAATGAGATTGCATTCATCAACGTCTTTGCAAAGATAGGGACACATAATTTTTTTCTGTTTGAATAATCAAAGTTGGAGATAGAAAGCTTGGACACGTGATTGATGAAACAACTAACGCCGAAATTACGTCTAAATTCTTGATTTTAGACACAAGTTATTCATTTTTTGAGGATACGCCACTACTGATACTCACACCGAAATTACGTCTAAATTCTTGATTGTAGAAATGATAAATGATTTTGTCCAATCCCCCATTCCCAAAGATTAAAGTTTCAGAGAAGACAATTCCCAATAGTCTAATGTTTTGCAATGACTACCAAGAAAAGTACGTCAAGACCAAATGTTGTCATTTGTTAGATTATTTTTTACTCAAGTGGCGATACTTGTGATCAGTTTTATGTTGCTATTTCAGAAGTGAGGATAAAAACATGATTAAAAATATTAGTTCTAGATGACAATGAAAATCATTACAAGCATACCAAAAATATTATTGTATACTCTGAAGTCATTCCAAAAATTTGATATTAAAACAAACTTTGTTTGATGCACATTCAATTTTTCAAATATTATTATTCTGCTTTGACATTTTTGTTTATAGTTTTAAATATAATGAGAGAAATATATTTTCTTTATTCCAAAAAATATTACATTGAAAAAGTTTCTAAATCGATAAAAATTTCATTCAACTCTGAAGTCTTTCAGAAAAATTTGGCATTAAAATAAACTTTGTCGAGTGCACATCCAATTTTTCAAATATTATTTATTCTATTTTGACATTTTTGTTTATAGTATTAAAAATAATGAGAGAAATATTTTTCCTTTATTCCCAAAAAAATATTGCATTGAAAAAGTTTTTGAATCGATAAAAATTTCGTTCGACTCCGTGTACCGGTAAATCCACCTGTATAATCAAAATATTAGATATGATATGAGATCCTTAAAAAAATAAATAATGATCAATGAACATAGGAAATGAAATTCGAAAGCAAAACAAATACACGCCCAGTGGGACTCGAACCCACAATCGCCTGATTAGAAGTCAGACGCCTTATCCATTAGGCCATGGGCGCTGTTTGATCTACATTTAATTCTACATCAATATATATTAATGGTAAACGTTCAGCACGAAGAATCCAAATACACTCGGACAGTCGATCACCATTCACCAGTCCCCAATCTATACAGTAACATGCAAGGGTACTAGAAATGGGAACGACGCCGTGGGCCGTTTTGGAAACGCCGTCACCAGTGGCGTTACCTTGGCGTCAAGCACACTGCCAGGGACAGATCTACATGTATGAATACGGTGCAGTCTTCAATCAATTTTTTTACTCCATAATACTCCGTATACAGTATTAAAATAATTTTTTTTGTAAAAAATTAAAAGAACGACTCCGATAAATAGTTAGTTTGCTCCCACTAACAAAAGAAAATCTTAGTTTAAAAGTAAAAAATAATCACTCAAAAACATATACAGGTAATTAATTTGAAATATCATAATTATACTAGGTTATGATATATTTTATATTTTATTTTTCTACTTTAAAAATGATTTTTTTATTTGAATACTTTACAAGAAAATTATTTTTTATCATTACCAAATGCTTTTAAAAAATCGGGAGTGCCACCCCTGACCCCACCATTCATTCTTTTTAGTGTGTATTTGCCCCCAATCATATCTTTTTAGATCCGCCACTGCACACTGCGCCAAATGTTTAACGAGCGATTTTGCAGGGGCCCACCATTTCAAATGGCTATACTGTCGTTGAGCATTAACCTTTTTATTATATAAATTCACTCTCATTTTTTAAAATAAATCACACACAAATCTTCAAATTTCTCTCTTCTTTCTTATAAAAATATTTATAATATTTCATTATTTTTTTATTTTTATCATGAATCCTTCATTCAATCTTGAGCCTCACGAGTATGCGATTGTTACGACGGGTAGGCCCATCATAGAGGAGATCGAGCGGCGGGTTAAGGACGAGCCCATCAATGGCGAGATTGAGCATGTTAGGGACGAGCCCGTTGCGGACGAAGGGTTGCATGAAGGGAATACCCATGCATGCGAAGAGGCTAACATCGGGACGCGACGTAGTGCAAGGACGAGGAGGCCTCCGGTTTAGCGCCAGGATTACGTAGCTTAATATTGTCACTTTAAATATTTATTAATTGTGTGATTTTGATTTTCCTAGGTGGGCGTAATTATAAGCCCCTTCGGAGGTTTCTTTTCGGTTCTTCACATCGATGCTTTTTTGAATCGACATGATAGATAACGTAGAACTTAGGGTTGGGAGAAAACTCTATTTAAACAGGTTGTATCCATGCACGGTGGAATTATTGAGAATAGTACAAGTGAAATTTGCACTGAATATGACTAAAACATAAATCATTTCTCAAGGTAGGACTTTAACTTTTTTATTCCCTAAATAGGATTTAATAATGTCTAGTGAGAAGAATAATGTCCAAGTGATACTAGACATTTAGTTGAATAATGACCAATAGTCCTATATTGGAAAATAAAAACATATGGTCCTATAGTGAGAATGTCATTATGTTTTAGTCCTATTTAAGTAAATTACCCATAATACAACCCTTCTCCCCTTATACTTATTCTCTTCCCCCAAAACCTAATTCCTCTCTTCCCTCCTCCTCATCTCTCTCTTCCCTCTCTTTTCACGGTTGTGGTTCCACCTGGAATTGGCGAGAAGGCGCCGTAAGGCCTTCTCAGGACTCTCTTTCCCTTATCAATTGGTGCTCTTGTTCCTTAACATGTCAAGTGAGGAGGTCACCACCCCAGGCCGCGATCAACACCATGACCGCATTGGTTTCTTTTCGGTGGAGAATGACATTCTTTATTTTCGCCTCCGCATTTGCATTGGGGCAACATCTGACTCACGGGCTATCCTTATTCGCGAGTATCATGACATGCCTATGGCAGGACATTCGGGCATTCATCGCACCTTCCAATGTTTGGCAATGGTATTCTATTGGACGATAATGCGGGCGGACGTACGACGATATGTGTCTGAGTTCCTCATTTGCCAAACTACCAAGTACTCCACGCTACCACCCGCCGTCCTGTTGCAATCCTTGCCCGTCCCCACCTAAGTTTGAGATGACGTCTCTATGGACTTCATAGTTCATAGTGGGGCTACCCCTATCGCGACATTTTACTGTCATCTTGGTAGAGTGGTAGTGGTAGATTGTCTTTCCAAATTCATTCACTTAGGAGCTCTTTCGACCGATTTTGACGCTCATCAGGTAGCGTTCCTCTTTGTTGATATGGTGGTGAAGTTGCATGGATTCCTAGAACGATTGTGTCCGATCGTGATAAGGTATTCACAAGTAAGTTTTGGAGGCATTTACTAAAATTGAGCAGGACAACCTTGCACCACAATACGACGTTTCACCCCCAAACCGACGGCCAGACAGAAGTTATGAACTGGGGCATCGAACAATATCTCCGGGCCTTTTCCCACGAAGCCCCCACACGTTGGATGATTCTCTTGCCATGGGTCGAATATGCTCTAAGTACAAGCTTCCACAGTGGGTTGGGTATGACACCGTTCCAATCATTATATGGGAGGGAACCTCCAACGTTCCTGCCGTACGCCCCGGGGGAATGTTCCTTACCAATGGTTGATGAGTTGCTCACGGAGCGCACAGAGCTGTTGGCTCGGTTACAACAGAGATTGCTCTTGGGTCAGCAACGCATGTGTGCGGGGGCGAACAAGCACATACGAGAGGTGACTCTTGCCGTCAGCGATTTAGTTTTGCTAAAGCTGTAGCCATATAAGCAGCACTCAGTGGCAGCCCGTTCATCGCAGAAGCTGGCTCGCCGATATTACAGGCCTTTTGAGGTGTTAGACCGAGTCGGAAAGGTGGTGTATCGGTTGAAATTGCTGGACGGAGTTCGCATTCATCTGGTTTTTCACGTGTCCCTGTTGAAGTCGTTCCGGGGATCATTGGAATTGTGCAAATTGTTGGGGAAATTAACAAAAACGTGGATCAATCGAGAGTCGTGTATAACACTTTCAAATTGAGTATTTTGGTTGTTCAATCCAAAATTCAATTGGATAAAACTCGAAAGTAACAAGTACGAATATGGGATTGCTGTGAAATTTGCGGTAGAGAAGAGAAGGCGTGATCGCGTCTTTTACCCAAGACACGTGATCCTTCGCGCGAAAAGCCTTTAGAAAATCGGCGCTATCCTTAAGAAATTTTCCTTTAAAGAAAATTCGAAAGTAAAAATTCAATAGAATTTTTTAACATAGCACTTTGCCCAAGTCACCATGAGCGGACAAAACATATCGACGCGGGGTATCATTTCTTGAGAAACGAGAGCGGATTCAAGGTTAAGAAAGTGGGAAGAGATGACAACCCCGCGAATATGCTCACAAAGCCAGTTTCAGAAAGCAAGTTCAAGCATATCTTGAATTTGCTCAATATCATGAACCATTAGGCGCAATGGGGCAGTCGGACCAAGAGAGGGTCCAGTGAGACTTTGCGACGATATACATTGGTTGCGAAGAAGACAAGCTTTGTTTAATTACGAGAAAAGAATCATTTGTTTCGGACTAGAGAATTCAAGTCAAGGTAGAAATTTGTTAATTTTTGTGATTTGACTCAAAAGTTAGATGCCAGTTACACTAAGAAACATGTAAAAGGAGCCACAAAATGATTCGTAGTTGTAGTAGGAAACATGTGATGGTGAGTCTCTCTTAGTCCTATAAATAAAATCTCTACAGGATCAACATATTGATGCACGATGCACATCAATTGTACGGAGTATTTGACTAAATGTCGTTCGTTGCTAAACTTGTGTGTTTAATATTTCCGGTATCATTGTGAGGCTGAACTTTCATGACAATATACATTTGAGTATAATATTTTAAATTAAAAATTATATTTCAAAACTAAATAATTGATATTAAATTTATATAGTAATACATTGTTTTTTTTGTAATTTGTAGGAGCTGGGTGAGACAAAAGCTGTATATGAGCTGAAAAATCAATTGAGTAAAGCTATTTGTTACTCAAGAATTTGTGTCCCATTTTGTACACCGCAGGGATGCACCAACATTTTGTGTTGAAGCAATGCCAATTTTTGTTAACACACCAACACTTTGTGTCAATGTAAATTTTTGTTAACGCATTAACATTTTGTGTCTTTGTAAACTATCAAAATGTTGATACTGGTACATACCTTTAGTGTACAAATGAGATACAAATTTTGGAATATAGTGAGCATTTCCTAAGATAACCAATCAATTGCGGAGCTGATTGAGACTAGAGAGCTGCACACCTGCTGAAAAATCAATTTGAAAAATGCTAGGGGTACACCAAAGGTGTACCCCAAATATCTTCCACCTCATCCTTGTCCACTAAAAAAGGAAAAAAAATTCAAAAAAAATAAGTAAATAAAAATTAAATAAAAATGTGTGGAGGAAAATAGGGTGGTGTACATTTGGGGTACACCATTTTGGTGTACCCTAGCATTACTCAATCAATTTAGTAAGAAAACAAATCAATTTCTCTTTTCGTCTTCCAAAAAAACAAAACAAAAATCAATTTCTTTTTCGGAGTAAGGAAGCTGAGCGAGACGGAGGTGCCACCTGTCCACGGAATCCCAACGACTGGTTCAGCTTCACCCAGCCCATGGATATCCATCCCCATCACTTACCCCACCACTTCCCTTCCCTTTTTTTCTCCTTGCTCAGTGCTCATACCCTCATCAATCAAATGAAAACCCAAACTTAATCCTAACAATAATTTCAAAACCAGAATGTCTATTTCTTCTTCTCCTTCTTCCTCCTCCGGATTGTTTCCAAGAACCCATCTTTTCAGAGAGAACAGAGAGATTTCTTTGAGGAGGAGGAGGAGAAGTCTCTGTTTCAGAAGCAGAGTGAGGGCTCTCATGGGTTCCGAGGGGGAGTCGAAGGCGAAGATTCTGGTGGCAGGAGGGGGGATTGGGGGGCTGGTTTTCGCGCTGGCGGCGAAGAAGAAGGGGTTTGGGGTGGCAGTGTTCGAGAGGGATTTGAGCGCCGTGAGAGGGGAGGGGCAGTACAGGGGACCGATTCAGATACAGAGCAACGCCTTGGCGGCTCTGGAGGCCATAGACATGGAGGTTGCTGATGAGATCATGGGCGCCGGCTGCATCACCGGCGACCGGATTAATGGTCTGGTTGATGGGGTTTCCGGAAACTGGTGAGCTTCCTTCTATTCAATTTCCTTCTTTACTACTGTCTGATCCTAATTGAAAGTTTACTCAATGTTTTCATTCAAATTTTACTTTATATAATACTCCCTGTAATAATGTTTCACAATTAACCCGAGATTAAGAAAAATAAATTGTGTGATTGAAGTGGTGCAAAAATATATGGGCCACAAAAAACTTTTCTGAAAATAGAAAACCAAACTTTTTTTTTGGATGAACAAAAAAGAAAATGTGGAATATTATTGATTATTGCGGCACAGATGGTGTAATTGGTACTCCGTATAAAATTTAAAAAAATTAAAAAAAAAGCCAAAATAACAATACTAGTATTTTAAGACTTAAATAGAAATGCACACTAGTCATCCTTAAAAAATGCCACACTGTCAACTGCTGTGCCACACTGCCACTTACTATCTGCCATCGGAGTGCCACCCCTGGTCGCCGGTGTTGACCATTGTTAACCAGTGGTCCACTACCTCACTACCACCACATACACTCCACTGCCACACTACCACTCATCACAACACTGCCATATTGCCACCGCACTTTCATCACATTCATACTTAAATAAAGATTCTATAGTAAAAAAACTAAATAAAAAGATGTACAAAATAAGAGGTGTCATGATTTTATTATTTTATCAAATGATATATGAAAATATACTCAGTATAACGAGATATGAAATAGTTGGACCTCACGAATAGTATGACAATTCGAACTCTTCATTATTTTTTAATTGTCTAGTTCACTTTTCGTGTCAAACACTTGACTAACCATATATAAAAATATGCAATTGATTAAAATATAAAAATAACACCATAATATTTGCATCAGAAAATACTTTTAATATACTCCGTATTATTTTAAACAATTTTTTGTTAATATATTTTAAAAGATATTATTGGTCAAACGTTTGATCTCGAAAACGAACAGGTAAAAAGAATGAATGTAGTATCTCAACTCATGAGCCATGCATGTTTTAATGTGTTTTTTGACATTTGTTTCACAGATTTGTGGCACTTTATAGCGTAACACTATTAAAATAAGTACCATAAATAGAGGGTAAAGTGAAAGATTAATGAGAAGTTGAGAACTTTGTTAACTGCTAACTGCATGGGGTTTCATATGAGTTACTCAAGATATAAATTGGTAAAAACTAATTTCAATATTTAGTAAACAAATATTTAGAAATTGTCAAAAATATCCCTATAAAGCGTAGTGGCAATGTTTCCACCATTGAAGGAAAAACTAATTTCAAAGAGATTTTCTATTTTTTTTATTTGACCGTCATTCACTAAATTTGAAGTATGTATTTTGGGAAGCAACAACAAAATCTGGAGAGAGGGAGTAATTTTTTTAAGTGTCCCAACAAAATGGAATATGTTCCATTTAGTTAGCCCCAAGAAAATATTAAAAATATACTTCTTCCGTGCCTATTAATTTTCCTCTTTGCTTTTTAAGTGGACTTTAAGAGGGGTGAAATTGTATAGTTGGAATTTATATTGAGAAGAGAGGAGTGTTGTGTACCAAACAATTCTTTCTTTAGAAGGAAATGGAAAGATAAATTAGACATTTATGAAAAAGGAAAGTCTAAAGTTAAAAAAGGGACGAAGTAACTGTTTGGCGGAATTAGGAGTCTTTAACATTTTCTCCTTTAACTGTTTGTTAGAATATAAGAAACATTTCATGTGCCACAACCACAAGCTTGAGCTTTTGGTTGAATTGGTTCCTTGACATGGTATCAGAGCCTTGTTGACTAAGAGGTCACGGGTTTGAAACTCACCGCCTCCCAGTTTTAAAAAAAATTAAGGTTTCACGTGCAAGGTTCGAAAAAAACTACGCCTGCACGTGGGGGGGCGTGTTAGAATATAAGAAACATTTCATGTGCCACAACCACAAGCTTGAGCTTTTGGTTGAATTGGTTCCATGACACTGTTATATACTAGATGTTAAGGATAGTTGTTTTCATCAATATACTATTTCTAATTACAAATTAGTAGCTGATCAGAACAATTGCAATATCCATAGAAATCAAACGCTACCAAGCATCTTTTTAAGAGAACTAAACTAAAAAGCTATTATAAACATGTAACACAAACCACTCACATCTAACAAGGCCTCGTTTGGCAACGACGTTAGCGTTCTGAAAAGGGTATCTAACTGTAGCCTTTAAAAACACAAATTCCAGTATTTTCCGTATTGGTATGCTCCGATGGGCCACAATTTAGAGGTACATTTTAACTCATCCCATTCAAACCAATATAAAAATAAAAACTATTGCATAAAGTTTTTTATCTGATGTGATCTAAATGTTATATGATATGCCTCAACTGAGAACAAGTAAAAAACGATAACAAACCTAGAAAATTTCCATGAGTGGGGTCTAGGATGGGTGAATGCAGACCTTACCCCTACCTAAAAAGATAGTCTCTTTTTGAAAGAATCTCGACTCGAGGAATAGAACAAAACATATTAGTAAAGAATAATGTAAGCAGAAATTATCCAAATCCAATTGATTAGCAAGTACTCCCTCTGTCCCCAAAAAAAGCTCTTGGTTTGATTTGGCGCCAAGTTAATGAAAAGTGAAAATGTGTGGTTGAAAGTGATGCAAAGAAGAGAGAAATATTGTGAGCCAGTCAAAGTTTTCCAAAAAAGAATGAGGCTTTTTTTGGGACGTCTAAAAAAGAAAATAAGGAGTTTTTTTGGGGGGACGGAGGGAGTATACATAATAAAAAGAAACTTATGAATTCATATGACTCGATTTTATATTTTTATGCTGGACTGAATATGATTTTGTGATGTCTTGTAAAAATATAACTTGATAATAGTTCTGCTTATCAGGTTTGTGAAGTTTGATACATTCACTCCTGCAGTAGAACGTGGACTTCCAGTAACAAGAGTGATCAACCGCATGACTTTGCAACAGATCCTTGCTCGTGCCGTAGGGGAGGACATTATCATGAATGAAAGCAATGTGGTCAACTTCAAGGATGAAGGAAACAAGGTTGCCAAAAATGTTAATTTTAACCCTTTATTTTTTTTCCTTTTCATGTTTTGCTCATTTTTTATTCTTAATTACTTCAGCTCCACAAATTCAGGTTACAGTTATTCTTGAGAATGGCCAGAAATATGAAGGCGATCTTCTAGTGGGTGCTGATGGAATACGGTCCAAGGTAATTTCTACAAAATAAATCTACCTAAAGAAGACTAAAACATTGAGCTTGTACCAAAAGAAAACCTCCTATGTTTTTATCCTCTGAATAAGAGTGCTGACACTATAAGCCCCGCAACTCCGCATTTTGGTATCAAAACATCGAATGTTCTATTTTGGTTCATGGAGCATGCTTTAGTTCTAGTTAGGTATTTTTCCATTTCTACAAAAGCGAAGAAATTCATATCGGGTCAGATGAGTTAAATGACACCTAAAGATTGAATAGTACAGAGTAATTCTTACTCAAGATCTTATAAACTCATTGATATTTCCCTTTTTAGTATTTCAGAGTCTTGGTTTTAAGAATTAGAGGTCCCTCTTTCAAATGAATTCAAGATTTAACTAAGAAATAAGAATACCTTATGATGAGCTTAGCTGATTACAAACAGGTAAGAGAACATTTGTTTGGGCCACAGGACACTACTTACTCGGGTTACACTTGTTACACGGGGATTGCAGATTTTATTCCTCCTGATATTGAGACCGTGGGGTACAACATTATTCTTACCGTTGCATTTCTTTCTGCCTAGTATCATTGAGTTTTCGGTGCTGATTCCTTCTTTCCAGACCAAGAAATAAATAGGAAAATAAAAACAAGTTTGGTTTTCTGTTCTGAAGGTACCGAGTTTTTCTGGGCCACAAACAATATTTTGTTTCTTCAGACGTAGGTGGGGGGAAAATGCAGTGGTATGCCTTTCATAATGAACCATCCGGTGGAGTAGATGGGATAAATGGTAATCTCCCAATATGTTCAGCCAATACAATTCTCCTTCTTCAGGTATATTTGGTAATTTTTCATAGTGCAGGTAAAAAGGAGAGATTGCTAAACATATTTGAAGGTTGGTGCGACAACGTGATAGATGTATTGCTTGCAACAGATGAAGATGCAATTCTTCGGCGTGACATTTATGATAGAACTCCATCTTTCACTTGGGGTAAGGGTCATGTCACCTTACTCGGGGACTCAATCCATGCTATGCAGCCAAATTTGGGTCAAGGGGGATGCATGGCTATAGAGGTATTTTTGTAACAACTCTCTAAATTCCATGATAGTGGTCACACTTTACATTTATGGTTTTTTTTTGTGTTTCTTGTCATTTTTTTGATAATAAAATCACATTTAATAAAACCTACTCATTAACCCATCTCACACACTTTTTTGTTCTCTCATTGTTGAGGAACCAATTCAACCAAAAGCTTAAGCTTGACATGACATCAAAGCCTTTTTGACCACGAAGCCATGAGTTCAAACCTCACCGTCACCCAATTTCTTAGAAAATAAAGGATTCATGTGCAACACTTTAAGCAACCGCGCTTGCACGTAAGGGGGCGTGTTATAATATAAAAACCATTCCTGGGCCTATAACCACAAGCTTGAGCCTTTCGTTGACTTGGTTTCTTGGCACTCATCCCACCTTTTGTAAGTTGCGTCTTGACACAAATGTGACCACTATTTTGTAAAAGAGGTATTTTATATTGCTTCCAAGTCTGCTATTTGAGAATAGGATAATCAAGTCCTTTTAGTGGAATATATGAAAACCATCTTGTTTTGAACTCATGTACAATTGCAGGATGGGTATCAACTAGCTCTTGAGCTTGACAAAGCTTGGAAGCGAAGTGTTGAGTCAGGAATGCCTATAGATATCACCTCATCATTAAAGAGGTACACCTGATTCTCTTAGGGAGGTGTTTGGCTAACAGCTTTCACTCCCAAAATGCTATCTGAAGCAAATGCTCACGCGAGTCATGTTTTTGGCCAACATTTTTGCAGCTTTTTGAAGCATTTACTATTCCGAAATCTTTATACTAATAATAATTTTATGGATGCATTACGGAGTATTTATTTCAGTTACGAGAGAGAAAGAAGGCTAAGGGTTGGAATCATCCATGGGCTAGCAAGAATGGCTGCAATGATGGCAGGGACTTATAAGGCCTACTTAGGTGTAGGACTCGGCCCATTATCCGTACGAAATCTCATGCTTTTCCTTTTCCATTTCTTGTCCCTCTTGAAATATAAATTTTCATGCATTTAAGGCGCATTGTTGTTTGGTTTGCATGTATTGCAGTTCTTGACTAAATTTAGGATCCCACACCCGGGAAGAGTTGGCGGGAGAGTCTTAATAGAACTGGTGATGCCTATAATGCTTAGTTGGGTCCTGGGAGGCAATGGGTACGTTTCTTCACAGTTCCTGCTCTATAGTTGTTTTTAATTATAGAAAAATGGTTTTATTTTTAAGTAAAAGATATTTTTTTTTTGCGTTATTTTTTTTCTCAATAAAAAACCATGGATTTGCAGAGGAAAACTCGAAGGAAGGACATTGCATTGTAGACTATCAGATAAGGTATTTGTGTTTGATGGCATGGATTGGAGGGTTTAGGGGATAAATATTTGTACAGACTAACATACTCCCTTCATCCCATTTTTATTTAAGTCCTCATTTGTTTTTTTTCACAGAACTTTCACAAAAAGTGAAAATGTGGAGTATGTTGAGGAAAGAAATAATGAGCACACAATTCTTTCCTTAAAAAGAAAGAAAACTTTATTTTGGGACGCCCACAAAAAGAAAGTAGAAATGTAAATATGAGACAAGAGAACAAAAAGTTTTGGACTACTGTTAACATGTAGCATAATATCTCTATTTAAATATAAGACTCTTGGTATTGATTTTATTGAAGGCAAATGATCAGCTGAGGAAATGGTTTGAAGATAGCGATGCATTGGAGCGTGCCATGAAAGGAGAGTAAGTGAAAGAATCGTTCCACTATCATTGGCTTCTATAGTTCTATTGCTTTGTGTATTTGTCTAACGTTACCCCTGCATTCTTTTTAGATGGTTTCTAACTCCTATTAAGAACGCAATCTCCGCTTCAGAACCCATTTTCTTAAGCAGGGACGAAAAGACGCCCTACATTGTTGGGTACGCCCCTCCCCCACCCCCGCACCCCCTCAGGTTTTCCCATTTTTTGTTACTCTTTCCGTCCCAACAAATTCTTTTTAACTTGACTTTTTTTGGTCAAACTGCTACATACTTTGACCATTAATAAATACTCTCTATAATTTTAAATTAATAAATGTTATAAAAAATTGATATATCAAAACTATATTTTAAAATGGATCCAATTATTATTAAATTTACATTATACTAACTAAATAAAAATTTCCCATAATTGTGGTTAACATTTGTAAAAGTTGACCAAATTTTTTTTGGGACGGTGGAGGTATTAAACCATTCCTACTCTCCAATAACATGTGATCTGCCTTTAACCATTTTTTTTGTCTTATGATTTGGTAGTTCTGTAGCTCATCCAAACTTCCGAGGAATGTCAGTAGTCATAAATTCGACCAAGGTAATGTTAGAGTATACATAAAATGTGAAGTGTAAAAATAATAATAAAAATTCATACCTTTCTTTATTTCCAAAATTAGGTCTCGGAATTGCATGCCCGAATAAGCTACAAAGATGGGGCTTTTTTTGTGACTGATTTGCGGAGTAAATATGGCACAACGATCACAGAGTATGTTACTTTGTGAACCATAGGGACATTCTCACATTCTTGAATCTTGAGTAAATATAACCTCTAGGCATAAGAGTATAAGGAAAATATTGATTGTTGCCTAAGGCAGTGGTGGATTCAGGAATTTATAGGGAGAAATACTTATAACTAGGACTAAAACATGTTTCATATATCAAAATAAGACATTCAATATTTTTATACCAAAATAGGACTTATAGTACCAAATGATGTCAAATAACATTGTGAAATGCCAATACATAATGCCAAATTGTGGTGTTTTATTGTGCCGACACCCCTTTTAAATGCCTATATATTTCAATCCTCTATAATATCTGTTTTTATTTTCGCATCCATTGAGCTGGGGTCTCTTGGAAACAACCTCTCTACTTTTAGTGGGGTAAAGTCTGCTTACACACCCACCCTCCCCAGACCCTGCTTTTGTGGGATTCTACTGGGTTGTTGTTGTATTTTCGAATCCATTGAGGGGTCCATCCCTCCCTACCCAAAGGGTAGATCGGCCCCTCAGCTAAGGGCAATGGCTAACAAGCCAAAAGAGGCAAGTTATTCAAAAAATGAGAAGTTGCTTTCATCAATAAACTCGTAAATGATGATTATGCGTAATAAAACTTGCCCTTTTTGGCTTTTTAACCGTTATTGCCCTAATGAAGGGCAGCGGTTAACATTTTCCCAAATACATATACCAATGTATGAGGGTATTAGATTACTCCTATGCAATTGTTCTTTTAGGATGAGAGCCAAGTCTTAGTAAAGGGGTTGCTTGTGCAGCAATGAAGGCAGATGCTATCACGTGCCTCCCAACTTTCCAGCCCGTTTTCGCCCATCGGACATCATTCAGTTTGGCTCCGACAAGGTGACATCCTACTACATTCCTACTCCTAGTTTGGGCCCCACAATACTTACCAAAACAAGCTCTGCCTCTTGGGCCCCGCCAGGTCCCCGGGGACACTAAATTGGCATGGGGTTAAACCTGGCCGGGCGCCCGGCATTGCTATGCATAATTCTTGCATTTGATCCAAACAGCCTAAAATTCTGTCCCTCCCATTTGGGAAACCCAACTTGCAGGCTGGCTTTCGGGTAAAGGTGGCGACCAAAGTTCCGGCAAGGCTTCTTGCGGGCGAGAACAAAGATAGCAGCAGAGTTCTGCCCCTCTATAGTGTGGTACCTGCAGACTGAATTGAAATGGCACAGAATTTATGACAGTGGCTGGGGATGCAATGCTGCTGCATTTTGTACAACAATGTACAGATTGAATCAGGAAGATGAAACTTCTAATTGCACTGCAAAGGGGAAGATGATATATACATGAAATAATCTCCCCTCTTATAATTGCTTCTTGTATTATATGTTAAGAGATAATTGCGAGATAATTGCTTCTTGTATTATATGTTAAGAGATAATTGCTTCTTGTATTATATGTTTAGAGATATATATAGTTTTTCTGGCTCTTTCATCTTAAGCTTGAACTTTTAGTCGAGTTGGTTCTTTAGTATGACATTGAAGCTTTGTTAACTTAGAGGCAACAACTTCAAATCTCTTTCTCACCTATTTAAAGAAAATAATTAATATTCACATGTAAGACTCAAACAAATAAAAATCTCATGAGAGGCGTGTTTAAGTATAATTTTTGCATGCACTTTAACCACAGCCGGACCGGAGAAACTAAGCTTGAAGTTGATTCAGTTGGACCGGAGTAACGTTGTGAAATTCTGTCCGGGATCAGGTTGCCCCATGTCCCGTTTGGATCACCTTCATGGGCATGATGTTTGACTTAAATTTTGCAGAGACGGTTGGCCTCTCCAGATAAAGGGTCTCCAGTTATAATTCGTTTTACATATTTAATTTCTACATATAAAATATCAATACTTTAGTCCCTAATTATGATATTATTTTCCACGAATGATCCTTTGTTAATATTTCTGTTAAAAACGTGAAAAAGTTCGAAATTCACGTTCTTCTCTCTCTTCAATTAAGCTTCTTCTCTCCTCTCGCACTCCTTTCCCAAACCTGTCGTTGAGTTTGAAGCTTTGAACCCAAAATCGAAAGGGAGAAAAACCAAAATAGCACTCTAAGAGCATTAAAATACTCTAAATAGCAGTGCTATATGTTTTATACATGTAATTCCGATTTTGTCCTTTAATTAAACAGTATATGTTCATTATTCACTGCCAAAAAATATGATTATTTTGGGCAGTGTGGTTGTTCACTCGTAATTGTGTAGTGGGCAGTGTAGTTTTTTATATGTGAGTTTTTTATGTGGCAGTGTAGAATGAATATATGTTGTTATATCTTACGGCGATGTGTAAATGTATTATTGTGTTCCTTAATTTCATGTTGTAGTGTAATGTCCATTGATTTATGTGGCAGTGATTTCACGTATTAATTCTACACTGTCAAAAAATGTATGACTAATTTCATCTATGAATTCCACACTGCCCAAAAAATGTATAGCTCTTTTTATGTATGAATTCCACACTGCCAAAAATGTATATGATTGTTTTCATTTATGAATTTCACACTGCTCAAAAATGTATGACTGATTTCATGAATAATCTATTATACCAAAACACACTGGCCAAACATGGGCTTGGCTTTTTTTGATCTTTCTTGATTTTGAATAATGTTAGAAGATGTTAGTATTAGACATATGTTGAATTTCATTTATGTGGTAGTGAAAAGAAACGGATAATGAAGGTATTATGTTGTAAATTTTAAGACTTTGTAAGCAGCATACACTGCAACATTATGTAAAATTGTGCAACATAGCACACTGGCCAAAACATAGGACACAACACACTGTCAAAAAGTATACCTAGATCAC